CTGTGATGGAGGGGTCGCCTGGTGACCCCTAGGACGTGCGTTCCATCTTATATTCGCCAATTCTCTCAAAATTTTTAAGGAGCAAAAATCTGACTTGTCTTTTCCCTGTCTATAGGGCGACAGTCATACGAATTAGTGTGGGGATAACAAAAATGACATTTGTGTCAACATTGTTAGGTTATGTGTTTTCATCGTTTTTTTTGCATTAAACTCATTAAACCATACCAGACAATGGAGGATGGTAAAAAACTGATAACGTTATTAACCAGAGTCACAACGTACATTTGAGATGTTCCTGAATAATAAAGATCACAAGATAGTGCAAGAATGCAGGTTCACAGCGGCTTGTAGTTGGCTTCATCTATAACTAGACACTTTGAAAAAATTTTGAATGTCTACACTAAAATATGAATTCGATACATTTATGCTTTACAATAAAAATGCAGAACGCTGACGTGTCGCGCCATCATTCTAAAACCATCATCAGAAATAAACTAGATAGTCTGACAATGCTTCTGAAAATAAAGGTAAATTGTGGTTGTGTTTAAATTTTCATTGATTGGCAGTGTGATACAAATTGTCAACGTCAAAGCAAAACATCAACATAGGTCGCGTTCCCGTGCGCATTTGTTAGAGTAGTTCGGGAGCGTCACACTACGGGTGCATACAGCTCTCAATTTAAAAGCACTGGAAAGCACCTCTGTATAGCAGCTGCAGATATGCGTTGTAATCGTAAGAATTATTGCGATATGAGCTAATGAGCAGTTTGTGTGAACCAATACTTAAAAAGGAGCATGTTTGTCCAAAACGAACCGACGGAGTATTGATGATTATTTATTTATGAAAAAGCTTCAGAATAAATGTGTAATGGTGGAAGGCAAAAAACAAAAAACACAAAAAATATTTACGTTGGTTTGATATACTTGAGCAGAATAAATTAAGGAAACCAGACGAAAACAGCAGTAACATTTATTCAAAATGATGCTATTTTGGTATCAAAGAATTTCCTCCACATTTCATTTTGAGACCACATGAACATTTGTTGAAAGTTTTATGAAACGTTATTATTCCTTTTCACATAAATCATAGGAGGGGCTACAGATACTGATGCTCAAACGCGAAAATGTCATCTTATTCCAAGGATCGGAGTCTCAAAATGATATGTGGGGGCCAATTCTATGGTACCATCATAGCATCATTTTAAAGAAATGTTACTGCTGTAAAATGTAAGGCGGTAAAGAGACGATTTCGTCTGGTTCCTTCATTTCTTCTATACACGATGATTCACAAGTCGTGACCAAAAATGAAACATCCATACACAGGGCCGCATTTTAAGGGGGGTCTTCTATGTAACATTTTTTTATACGAGGGCTTCATTAAAAAGATAGTGTTGAAGTTTAAATATAAAAAACATTTTTTTTAATATCTTCAAGACCGTCAACAGGAATGAACTAAAATTTGGTACCTATGTGGATTTACCTAAGTATTGTCCACATTCAAAAGTCCTTAGTTAAAATTCACGAGCACCAGTGGCGGAGATACAGGGGATTAGTTGCATTATTTTTCCAAATAAAAATAGTACGCCACTGCTTTTTCTCGAAACGCGCAATTAATTGTTTGAATTTTACCTTCAAATAATTACTCTTGGGTTTTTCCTCGAGTGTTCTGTTTTCGTAAAAATAAAACAAATTAGATCATTCATGTAGAGCCGAGATACAATTGGTTTCACAATAGAATAGGGGGCATTGATACCAACTTGACATTTCGTGGGAGATAGTTTGTCAAAGTTATGTGTTATACGGTCGTTACCGTTACTACCATTTTTTTAAAGTCAAGCAACAAGTTTCTTTTCCATTTTTGAGTGTTGCGAAATGGAATTTAGCAATTATGAGTACGCCGATATTATTTTTGTGTACGGGTTCTGTATTGCAAATGCTTTAGCGGCTTCTCTTGAGTATCAACGTAAATTTCCTAACAGACGCCAACCTACTCCAAAGGTTTTTATGCGTTCATTTCTGACTTCGGAAATATGGAATTGGCAAACTCCCCGGAGTTAGAGGTCATGATGTCCGGCATACTGTTCAAGAAGAACTGGAAGTGATTAGTTTGGCGTTGGATGATCCCAGTACAAGTACTAGACGAATTGCAGCCCAGTTAGCATGTTTCCAAAGTCTTGCGTGGAGAATTTTAAATCGGGAAGTTTTGCATCCTTACCATCGGCAAAATGTGCAATGTCTGCAACCCGGCGCCGAAATGCAACGGCGAAATTTCTGTGAGTGGTTACCGCAAATGCATAATCAAAATGCACATGTTATTGATTTAGTTTTGGGGTCAGAAGAATCGCTTTTTACGAGGAGTGAAACCTTTAATTCTCATAATGAACATATTTGGTCGTTAGAAAATCCCCATTCTGTAAGAATCCACTCGTTTCAAGACAGATTTTCTAGAAATGTCTGGCATTGTAAATGCAAACTCATACTTAGCTTTTCTAGAGAATTGCGTAGAAAATGTGTTAGATGATGTTCCGTTAGCAACGAGAGTACGAATGTGGTATCAGCACAACGGCGACGGTGCCCCACCGCATGTTCGTCGCGACATAACCGCATTGTTAAATAATCATTTTAGACAACGATGGATTTACAGAAATGGGTTTCTTTTTGTGGGGCGCTTTTAAACAACTAGTGTATGCTTAACAAATTAATACAGTTGATCAGTTACAAGAAAGAATAGATAATGCGTTTCATCAAATTCAAGCTACAACAAATTTTGCGGAAATACTTTTTTTTCATTAAAAAGATGCCGCACTTGTATCCGTCAGAATGGTGGTCTTTTTGAACATTTATTGAAATAAAGCTTTGATCATCTAATATGTTTTTTTATTTTTACGATAACAATGCACTCTAGGAAAAAATACAAGAGTAATTATATCTAGCAAGGTAAAATTCAAAAAAAAAGTAGCGTACTATTTTTATTAGGAAAAATAATGCCACTAATCCCCCGTAACTTCGTCACTGGTGCATGTTAATTTTAAGTAGACTTTTGAATGTGGACAATACTTGGGCAAATCCATATACCAAATTTTAGTTCATTCCAGTTGACGGTTTTGAAGATATTAAAAAAAACTTTTTTTATTTTTAAACACCCCGTATCTTTTTAATGAAGCCATCGAGGAAAAAATGTTACATAGAAGATCCCCTTAAAATGCGGTCCTGTGTATGATGTTTCACTTTTGGTCACTTTTGGATCTGTGAATTACCCTGTAGAAATAAATCAAACAAAAGTAAATATTTTTCCGTTTATTGTAAATACACATAGCCTTCCACCATTAAAAATTTATTTTGAAGCCTTTTCGTAAATAAATAATCATCAATACTCAGTAGCTCCATTTTTACAACAGCAAGGCATATATGCGGCAGCTAGTATGGTACGCGGCAACATCGCCTAGGACTACTCATTACTTAACTCTGAAACCTCTTTCATTCTTGTACAGGAGAATTTACATTTACAGGACTTCCGGTACGGCAAAATACGTAGGTTTTGTAGCACTCTAGGGTCAGATTTATAGAAGTTCATTGAGGATTGAGTGCTGTTTGAGGAATGAATGAATTTTAAACAAACAATAAAGCTTCCTTGAGGAATCGAGAAAAATTATTAAAATTTTGATTTTTGAAATTCACACGATTTTCGACAAATTTAATATTTTCATAACTAATAAAATTTTAGTTGTTTTTTATTTCAAACATTTCCAAAATATTCAGTGGGGTGACTACCATCGGGGAAGAGACAACTTTTTTAAAAAGGGTATCAGCCCCCAAAACTTTTAGAAGAGTGCGGTTACCCAGTTTTTTTATAAACATTCAAACTTTAAGGGCTAACAGGTTTCTCGGGAGGGATCAAGAACCCCTGGCCTCCCTTTGGGAGTGCCTATAGCTAGCTGTATGGATCTTCTCCTCAATACACTAAATCATCAACTTTTACAATGAAACACCCCTAAGAGCGTACCCAGCTCAAAACGGAAGGGGGGGGACTTAAAAAAAGTTCTGCAAATCACATCTACACGCTTGATATATTCCTTTCCATTTGCATTTCATTTAAATAGTCTTCCACGACGACTTGACATTTCATATGAATATAGAATTGGTTTTTTGAAACATTCAAGCATACATTGCGCGCGCTGTTTTTTTTAGGTAATATTATAACATATAGCCGAAAATAGTTTTATAGAATATGTAGAAGGATATATACCTAGTTTACTCTAGAATGATTTGAAAAACAAAATTGTCATTTTTTCACCAGTGTGATCTCTGGAACGATGGGAGATACGGATCGGTTGAACGGTGGCAAAGTTGCGTATTTATATATGTTAGAAAATGCATTTGAAGAGTTTTGACGCTTCCAGTATCTCCACAGATACACGGAAAAGGGAACGAATGTTCCCAAAATCGTTTCTAACTTTTTCTGAAACTCGTCAATTGAGGAACAACATAATGTAACTCATTTTATATTATTTAAAGATAATAATGAAGACATCGAAAACGAACGAAATTCTAGTTATGCCACGTGTAGAAGAGAAAAAGTGGTATTGATATTGTGCAATTTATTTGAAATTTGTAGATAATGTGGATGTGTGATAGGTTTTGTTTCAGACTAAAACCAGGATAAACCCAAAACGACTTTACCTAAGCAACTTGCCCCCATAAAGAACTCCGCGTTGTTCAGGCGTATGTCACAAAATCAGTATTTACTGTGATCCGTCAACATATTTATGATGAGATGTGATATTTATTGACCGTCTAGCCTGGACGTTAGTAATTATTACGCATCTTATAGATACTGATTTAGCTTGTGGAGAACTCTAAATGAATAATTTAATTTTTGTGAAAAAAAATTTCACATTTAATGCTCTCTTCGTTTAATTTTTTGCCGACCTAGGGATAGGGAGGCAGCTAAACCATCCCCCCGGTACGCCCTTGCTCCCAATCAATGTCCTATATTTTCAGGTGCAGACGTGAAACGAAAATCCAAACAATTCGAATCTGCTTTCTATTTGGCTACCTTCTACTACATCAAGAACCCCCACATCAAAAACGCAACCTGTATTCGAGACCTGTACTACGCAGGTGCAAATATCGATGAACCTAATGCTAAAGGCTTAACGCCATTGCAGATGGCCGCCATGTTTGGTCATACACCTTTGGTAAGATGGCTGCTTCAGAAGAACGCAACGGTTGTAAGTGCGCCTGATCCATACATGTTAGCCTTGTCTCAAGGGTACCAGGACACTGCTACTGTTATACTGACGCATACACATAAAAAATTCATCCATTAAAGTAAGTTCAAAAATAAATTTGATTTCACTTGTTTTATTTCAGTTTGTAAAATTTCCCTTTCCAATATACATATGTATCGAACTAAATATATAATTCTAAAAAATATATGTTTTCCCCTGTTTTTGGCGATTTCATCATTAATGTCATACGAAATGGCTAACTGCGATCTTAAACGTAACTGCTCTTGCACACATAAAGTGTTTAATGAAAGTATAAAAGTAATGCTGGTAGTTTTAGTGTGAAATGAACTAAGACGAGTTTATTCAATGCTAGAATATTTGTTAAAAAAATGACACAAAAATATGCTCAAATGAGATCCACGCAGATGGTAAAGGACGGATTCGTATATTTGTCTCTGGAAATAGATCTACGGACATTAATCCACGCGCAGTAAGTTCTTTACACTGAAAAAGCCGCGAAGGCAGAAACCTAAGTCCGTACTGAGAGTGAGTGCTAAAATGAGGCGAGAGATATTTGGTTGGCCCGATTTTTGAATTGCCCAAGGTTAGAATTAGAGAAAAAATTCCCGGGCAGATGGTTCCACAAATTCGACTGTAGGAACAAATGATCCGAAGTATCGGAATTACAGCAACCTTATTACGCAACTGTAAAATGATAGGCATAGCAATCTGATTGCCATAATTGTCAGTTTGCAACTTATTATTATCATTCACTTCATGTTCACTTGTAGTAGCTGTGCTGTTGTCTCAAGGCCAAGATACTTGAGCTATGTGCTATAGCTGTACAACAGCTGCTCCAGAGATGGCGCTAAACGAGGCCATTCATAGCTTCTATGGTCTGAACTGTAAGTTCTGTACTAAAGGTCACTGTGCCATTACTCCACAGGTGGCCTTTACAGCGAGTACTCATCACGTGGGTTAGCGACTAGCTGTACACCAGTGACAAGTATTAAATGGAGTAGAATAACGAAGAAAGCAGGCGTGGTCCTCTTATCTTTCGGGGAACTGTGTTCTTGAGCATTGATAGGATAGTCGCTACCGAACTCGCTCTCGGGAGAAAAAGGTCGGAAATCTCGCCATCATCCATCAGTCTCATCTCTAAAGACAAAGTTGATTTTGTGAGGGAACTTTTAATGATATGGAGAACTCAGGGACCTGATTCCGGTTGGCGGCGACCTCTGAGAGGCCCAGAACTGGGGTATTTGTTAATCACTGTTGGTAGCTAATAAATGTTGCTCATTTTCATTGGCAGAGCAACTGAATGAATGTCGATGGTTTACAGAAAACATCATTTGGTTGAGGAGAAGAAGGCAAATATGCGGTGATTTTAAGGTAAGATGAATACTGAAGTGAGCCATCCTGAGTAGTTTGATGGCATTTACTGACTAATATCTTTGACGACTGTTTCTATGGAGCTGTGCACCATTCATAGTCATTTATTATTTATTATTAAAAATACTACGCCACTATTTTTCGAAACGCGCATTTTTTCGAATTTTACCTTCAATTTGCTATATTACTCTTGGGTTTTTTTCCTAGAGTGCACTGTTTTCGTAAAAATGAAACAAATTAGATCATTCATGAACAATCGAGATACAATTAGTTTCAAAATAAAATAGGAGGCTTTGATACCAGCTTGACGTTTCTTGGGAGATAGTTTGTCAAAGTAATGTGTTATACGGATGTTATCGTTACTACGACCATTTATTTTTTGTAAAAGTCAAGTCAAAAGTTTCTCTTGTCCATTTTTTAGTGTTGTGAAATGGAATTTAGCAATAATGAGTACGCCGATATTATTTTTGTGCGCAGGTTCTGTAATGGAAATGGTTTAGCGGCTTCTCAGGAGTATTAGCAACGAGAGTACGAATGTGGTGTCACCACGACAGTGCTGCGTCGTGACAACCGCATGGTTAAATAATCACTTTAGACAGCAATCCATTGGCCTGCGAGGTCTCCTGATGTGAACCCCTGGATTTCTTTTTGTCGCGCGCTTTTAAACAACTATTGTATGCTGAACAAATTGACACTGTTGATCAGTTACAAGAAAGAATAGATAATGCGTTTCATGAAATTCAACAAATTTTGCAGAAATACGTTTTTCTTTATTAAAAAGATCCCGCACTAGTATCCGTGAGAATGGTGGTCTTTTTGAACATATGTTGAAATAAAGCTTTGATTATTGAATTGTTTTTTTCATTTTTACGAAAACAATGTACTCTAGGAAAAAACATGAGTCATTATTTGTAGCAAATCGAAGGTTAAATTCGAAAAATTCTGGCGTACTATTTTTATTTGGAAAAATAATGCCACTAATCCCCTGTATCTCCGCCACCGGTGCACGTTAATTTTAAGTAAATACTTTTGAATGTGGACAATGCTTAGGTAAATCTACAAACCAAATTTTAGTTCTTTACAGTTGACAATTTCGAAGATATTAAAAAATGTTTTTTATTTTTGAACTTCACCCCGTACCTTTTTAATGAAGCACTCGAGGAAAAAATGTTACATAGAAGATCCCCCTTAGAATGCGGACCTGTGTATGATGTTTCATTTTTGGTCACGACTTGTGAATCACCCTGCATGTATACCATTATAGTTTTGAAGCTGATGTATCGACAGAGGTGGCCCGTAATTGCTTGGTTACAGTTAAATAAAAGTTCAGCCTTTCATATAGAAAAATTCCATTCCGTGCAACCACATTGCGTCATCGGTATCCATAAATCAATTGTGTATCATTCGAAAAGCGATAATAAAATTTGCGGATAAAGATCCGCAAAATACATAGGGCAGAAACTTTACGAGACAATACTTTTAAATAATTGGCCTCTCTCGTTCCTTTGTTAGTGTAGTTTAATATGTATGTATTTATGGACTTCTGGCGTATTCAGGGGGTGGGTGCGTTGGGGCATGAGTTCCCTCCCAGAACCCCATGGCCTATTACGATTTTCCTTATACGAGTATAATAGAGCATGCTATACGTTTTGTGTAATGAAAGCCACCCCCACTCTTTGGATGCCACAACGTCTTCCGATCTTAGGAGCACTGGTGTCGCAGACGCCTCCCCTCCCCTCCGCTGTTCATTTGCATCAAGGGCATTCACTCCTAGAAGTACTGTTGCAGCCAACCCCCCGCTCTACAATTTTTAATCATTCTTCAAATGTCATAATAATTTGTTATCAGAAGCACTGATGTCGCAGACGACGCAGCTCCCCCACTCTCCATTCTTCAATTTACATCAGCCGATATGGTGGCTGGTTTCTCCATGTTTCTGGATACGATATGGACTTGCCAGTGTGGGGAACGAAACATTCCAAAATAACATACATATGTACATGTACACTTTCCTCCAGAAAGCAAAAAACAACGTTATGCCAATGCCAATTAATCTAGAGACATTTTGCCAATCAGTTTAGTTTTCCGTTTTATTTATAATTCCTACAATGACGTCATAGCCTGGCGGCTGCTGAAAAATTGTGACTACTGTTTAATGTGGTTGAAATTATCATGGCGAATTCGAAACTGCGACAAAATGTATCTATCGGACCAATAGGAATTAGCTTATCCTGACGTCTTACCTCGGCTACCGTTCAAATTGTTGGCAACTCCTTCACACTGGTTGTAATTTCCAATTTGAATTTATATTGGCCAGAACATAGATATTTCCGATAAAAAACAGTGATAACTCTGCGGCAGTAATTTTAGCTTATTGTATGTAATAATTGAATGCATATCACCTAAGAGTTTTGATTTAACAGAAATTTAGTATTTGGATTATGTAATATATCTTCTGTAATTATGTTGCACTTGTCTCACTGATTAATCTCCATGCTATTATACTTACTAGAACCACAGATAATGAATATGAGTTTACTGACGTTTCGGTTTCACAAGGCTTCATAATACGGAGGTGAACTGTGTGTGTATGTTTTTTTTTTTAAAGAAAACTGAATATAGACTTACGGCCGACTTCACCATTTGACAAACCGTTATTCTGCACCAATAGGGTACGAGTACTAAACATTCCCTCAAATATACCCAATCAGCCTCAAGATCTGTCCGTCAAAAAGCCTTTTCCCTCTAATTTTTGTTAGGTGTTGCGTTTCAACACATTCATACACTTCTTTCCAATTCCTCAATGACATTGATCACTGGTCCGAAACTGTTCAAGATTTTATTCATACATTCAATTGCAGTTGCAGTTTTTTTATTTTAATTTCAGTGTATCAGTCGCACCATCGTTGATGGTACATGGTACACTCAACATAACCACGTATTTCGGGGTTAGTGCAGATTTAACTGTACACGACAGTGTAATATGTAATTCTGCACAAGAAAGATCTTGTTTTTATTCCGAAAATCCATTTTTTTAGAAATAACACAAGAAGCTCAAAACAACAAGTGACAAGTGACCACAAAACATAGACTACAGCAACGTTGGAAAATAGACCAAAGAACAATTGACATTTGAAATTAGTGTCTCACAATGTTAGTGATGGGAGGATACATTTGCAATCAGTGGAATGCATTGGAACGGTTAAAAGATATGAATTGAATCGTTTTTACGTAATCTCGACTGACAAACTGGAATATCTGCTCTGTTTCGGTACATATATTTTTTGTGGTATTGTTGCATAAAGTAGTTTGTTCACGAACCAGTTTCTAGAACTGAATGCAACTTAATGCAAAGAACCAGAAAGCACATCACTATTTCAAGTAATTGAACGAGGACAAATTGTCATTTCATCGCACTAGTGATGAGAGAATCGAAAGCCTGAGATTCGCTTTGCTTCTGTGGCTCAGAGATATAGTTGTGCTCTTCTGATAATATTAGCTCAGTTTTTGTGTTTAAAATACTCTCTACCTCAGTTAATACCTTTGATCCTGAAGTTGCTCCCAAAATAACATTAAACAACTCTCATGTCGGTGTCGCGTGCAGTAATCTGTCAATGAAGCATGTTTTTCGTTTCTTTGCCCTTTTCGGTGTTACTATGATGAATCATCGAAAAGAATAATAGTAAAAAACGAGCAAATAGCACGGCTGCATTCAAAGATGGAAATCGAGGCAGTCAGTAGACAACACCAGCCCGAGTTGCTTCAAGTTCTGTATGTTTCTACACTGAGT